GATAAGTGCTGCTTAGCAACAACTAAAACATCAGCATGTTATCAAAGTTGTTCTCACACTAAATCCAAAACGCGGCACTGTACCAGCTACTAGCAAGAAAATTAACCCTATCCCAGCCAAAACCAGGACACCTTTCCTAATGCAAGGATTTTTTAACCCTTCAACTTCTCTGCTGGAAATTGAGACAGTTTTACACGAGTAGCTTATAGACAAATAAAGAAAAAAAGTATGTCAAAAGTCTTTTGCTTTCCCCCTTGTTTTCACTTCCTTTTTTACTCCTCAGTGTTAGCAAAAACATTTCAGTCTCTTGAGGAAAGATCAGATATCAACGCAACTGGCCTGAGTGAGCAACAGGAGGCACCAGTCAAGACTCTGCACCTCCCAGAACCATTTCCTGCTTCATTCAAGCACCAGACTCCAGTAAAGATCTTCACATTTGCTTTACATTCACTCTGAAGTGATAAGCTCTAAGCCAACAGGCTCACAAAAGTCCACGCACTTTTCAGAGCTTAGCAGTGGCATTTTCAAGGCAAAAGAACTGAAGAGAGTGAGACGGTTAGAGCTGCTGTCCACCCCCACATGACCCAAACGGCCAGATGCACTGCTCATCCAGGGCGCTCTGCTCAGGGCTTGCAGCACCCACAGAGAAGGAGCCCAGTTGGGTAACTCAGCTGCAAAGCCCCCTGAAGGGTCAGCAGAGATGGGCAGTGCCTCTGGAGACTGATGGAGGGTCCAGGTCACGATGTGGATGAGTGTTCTCAGCTCAGCCCTCGCTCCACCTGCCTCTGGCTGCTCCGCTCCTGGCCACAAGCTGCTTACTACTAATTCCCTTGTGCCAGCCTTGGTGCTGCTTTGACCCTGGTGAGACACATCAGAAAGGTCAGCTGGTGGACACGTGACTCAGACAGAAAAAGGAGACAATTTTTCTGACAGTTTACCACTCTGTGCATGTTCACTACAGGGCCAGGGACAAGGCAGAGAGAAAAAAAGGGTGACAGCCAGATTGTTATTCTGGTGTGACTGTGATGTGAAACCACATCCTCACAGCATCCCAGGTTCATGATTTCATCTTCCATGAGCTGTATAGGGCACGTCTGTAGGGTAGTTCAATGCTCCCTGATGCTAGGTAAGGGAGGGGATAAATGGCCATCACACAGGGGCTCCTTCACAACAAAGCAGTGCTTTGTCACCTGTCCACAAGACAGAAGATCTGATTTATAGACCAGACACCAGTTTGCTATTTGAAATCTAGCACTAGGAAAGCCTGAGTAAGCACCTTTCCATTTTCTCTGGTAAATCTGGGCCACCTGCCACAAGGTATGCAAGGTACACGGATCAAATAGAAGGTGAAGAAAGGGCAGTCAATCTCAGTGTGGTTTCACAGCTCTGCTTGGTGGGTCTGCAGCAAGATACTTCGGCTGCTTTCTCACCACACCCCAAGAAAATGGGATTTCACATCCATCATGCCTCTTCCATCTATGAACCTTTTTATTTGGCATCTGCAGGCGTCCTTCTCTTTTCCATGGTTTTCTCTCTGTAAGGTCTCAATAGATCAGATCATGTAAGCACTCCATTTTAGGAGTAAGATATGTATTTTATTCATTTAACAGTGTGAATGTAATCCAAAAACATTAGAAATGCCAGACCTACCTAGGCTAATACTGTGACTACAACCTAGGCCAGGAGCAGATGTCCAGGGAAGAGTGTAAATAGAGAGCAGGTATGCAGCAAACCTTCCTCAGTGGATTACCCCATCTTCCAGAGGTCTGTGCTCAGGCTCTTTCTGAGCCAGTGATGGTGTCTCTGTCCTGGAGTATGAGACATTTTGTGTGGCTTGAAGGTGAGAAACATACACGTGCTGCCTGTGGTTTGTTGTGTGCACTGAGTCTCATGAAGAAAGCAGCCTCAGAGTGCTGCCTATTGCACACTGAGCTGTTGATGCAAAACACAGCCAGGACCTGATGTAACACGTAGTGATGGTTAGTGAGCCATATCAGAACCAGATAGGTCACAGGAAGGTAAGAACAGATACTATGGATAGGCTTTACTCAACTGAAAGCAACAGAGCAGCTAAGAAAGCTAATGCATTGAAACAGCTTGTCTCTCACAAATGTGCTCTTGGATATTGCTGATCCTTGGCATCACGGCCACATTTGACCCTTTATAAATGTCTGAAAACTGCTGGATGGGATAAATCTTTTAAGTTCTTCTGTTCCAACCAGTGTTTATATCACTAAAATTGTTCATCACAAATACCAGCAGAAAATAAACCCTGACATGGCATATGGCTTCGTCAGCTGTGTAGTTATTACTTTTTATTTGAATGAATTTCTAAGATGCTAGTTAGCTTGCTCCAGTTCTGCACCAGTGTGGGACAACAACAAAGTGCAGCAGGTAACCAGCTGCCTCTTTAGGTAAAGCAGTGCAGTTATGGATGCACTATTCAAAAGTTGTGGGGATATATCCCTCACAGCCCAGAAGACACAAATGGGAATTTTCTGGGCTGAGTCAAGTGTCAAAACAGCAAACTCTAAAGGCCTGAAAAGGAGATAAAAATGTGCATTCGGTTGCAAAGGGACAATATCACAGGCAGCAATTTCATAAATTGTCTGTTGAGTGCTTCTTTCTGATCTTCAGTTAGAGAAGGAAACCCTTCTGCAGGCCTGGAGAGCTGAGCAGAGACAAGGTCAGAACTAGGGCTGGATGCAGTGGCCAGGGTCAGAAGACTCTTCTCGGAGCAGGTCAGGAGACAGTAGAAGGTGAGGGAGGGGAACAAATGGATGTCCTCCTCTCGCTCTGCTGATATGGGGCTGGGACACAGAGCATAACTGCTGGGATGGACCCAGGCTCCTGAGCTGACAGGCCAGACCTTCAGGAGAAGCATTCAGCACATGTTTTCTCTCTGCAAGTGTAAATCCATGCCAGCGGCTGCACTTTGTCAGCTGAGGCTTTGTACGTTGTGGCTGACAGTCATTTAGGGGTCAAGGTCTCTTCAGCTCAGCTTCAGCCCTGCAGTTTAGGTCACACAGCAGAAGCCCAGGAGCAAAGCATGGTAAAAAGTCACAGGCACCGCCTTCCCTGAGGCTCACTCATGGGTGCTAAGCATAGGAAGGAGACCTCGAGCAGAGTGGGAAGAGAGGAGGTGAAGGAAGGAGGCAAGAGAAAGAACTATTGGGAACCATGTGTCTACAGGATCTCTTCTACCACTTCCTTCCTGCCCCGCAGCACCGCTGGTGAGCCCGGTAGCTTGGGGAAATGTCCCTCCACACGCCAGTGCCACAGCAGGCCTGGGCACTGCACACAGCAGGACACCCAAACACAGGGTCAGCAGAGGCATGCAGAGCCCGGGTGAGGGCAGGGGAGGGCATCTTCATCTGCTCATGAAGGTTTTCTGCTGAGGCGTGGGGAGTAGACAGCCACTGAGTAACCGAGATGGCGTGTGGCTGCCGGCCCTGGCTCTCGCCATCGGCCTCACCTGCAAGCTGTAGTCACCTCTGTGTTTCACCTCAGAAGGGGAGGTCTCCCACACCGCTCTCCAGTGTACCCCCACAGAGCAGCTGTCACACCAGACACATCTGAGCCAAGGACGAGCTCTGTTATGCTACGACCCACACGAGGGCTGGGCAGAGAACCGCTGCTGACCCTGAAATCAAGCACCCTTTTCATCCCTTCTACACCACGGCATGGTAGGTGGTCTGGGGAAGTCCCCACCTCATTCTTCAAGGGTGGCAGATACCCAGAGGCAGCAAAAACCTCAAGTCACCACCAGCCCTTGTTGCAGCCCTGATGTGAACACCAGCTTTCAGTACACTTTCACTGCTAGGAAAGAAGGGAAGTAACTTTACAGCCGCTCACACAAAAATTCTGTGGCAGCCCTGGTGAGTACCGTGCCACCTTCCCCACACAGCAGTGAGGGTCCTCTTCTGTCATTCATAAAATGAGACATTTGGAACTAAAGGAAACTTCAGATCCTCCTTGAGAGGGCTTCAACAAAATGACCGGACTCCAGTCTGATTCTCAGATATGAAGGGAATTGGCCCTCTGGCAAGACATTTTGGCCCAACTAGCACAGTGACCACTGCCTGGTAGCCCTCATCAACGTGTTAGCATGAGTGGAGCATGGTTTGCCACAGGGGGAAGTGGAAGGTAGTCACAGAGGGAGGTCACGCCCTACGGTGTACTTCTGCACACATAACACTTTCTCAGTTCCTCTATCTGTGGAGGCCCCTTCCAAACATCCTCACTGCAGGGAACAGTTTACTCAGCTGCTGGTGCTGGGACCAGCAGGTATCACTCACCTCTGCACCATCCACTTGCTTGCCAGGATGTCTTCACTCAGAAGATGCTGTCATTGAGTGGGCTCTGACTGCTTTGGGGTTCGTGATGGAAGTGAACACCTCTGAACATGGGCCAGGAGATCCTCTCTTGGTGCGTATGGTTGTGGCTAACACTATGCTGCTGTGAGAGTCTTGCAGCCTAGGGCAACCTGTGTCCATTTTCTCATACTGCTCTTATCATCTGAGAACTAAAATAAGTCAGGAGACCTGATTGTCTTTCAGGCTCCAGTGATCTTGCATGGCAGGTGCTCTGTTAGGCATTCAGGGTGCAGCTGCTTGTGCCACACCAGGGACTGCTCTTGCCTACATGGAGGAGAAGAAACTTGTCCACCCTCTCACATGCAGGAGACAATCCCACTGCACTGGGAGTAGACAGCTTCCCCTTGGTGTGCTCGAGATGGGCCCAAACAAGCAACAAATAAATGTTCTGAGGCTGCTGGTTGGTCAGATGGCAGAACTGTCTGAAACGGAGGGTGACAGTTTTGTGTCAGAGACTACCCAGGAACCAGAATCTGGCCACTGGTGTGTCCCTCCACACTGTTACAAGGCTATCTGAACATAGTGGTTCACCATAGCCTTTACTGGCACACTTTGAAGTGATGCAAATGCTAACTTTCCACCTTGTCTTCTGATTCTCAGGGAACACCAACTGGGAGAAGAATAATGGGAAATTGTACAGACACAAGCTCCATTTGCACAGGAATTCCCTACAAAGACAGCAAGACACTTTTAGTTGCTGTTTACAGCATTGTTTTTGCCATAGGCCTTCCAGCAAATTGCTTAACATCCGTGCTTACATTTGTACAAATCCAGAGGAATAAAGTAATTGCCATCTACATTTTCAGCTTATCATTGTGTGAGCTGATGTATTTAAGTACCTTGCCTCTTTGGATTATCTACGTGCAAGATGAGCACCAGTGGAATATGGGTGTAACAGCTTGCAGAATAACAGGATTCATCTTCTTCTGCAACATATACATCAGCATTCTGCTTTTGTGCTGCATTTCTGTGGATCGTTACGTGGCACTGGTGTATGCTCTGGAGTCAAGGGGGAGAAGAGGACAGAAAAAGGCAATCATAATAGTGTGTTTTCTCTTTGCTGTGGTTGCAACAATCCACTCTCCAATATTTCGCATGGAAGATGGTTCAGAATCTATGAACAAGACAACTTGCTTTGAGACCTTGCCCCTTGACATAAAATTGGCTTCTTTCAGCCTTGCCAGATTCCTATTTGGATTTGCTATACCTTTCACAATCCTCATTTTCACAAACTACAAAATTTTCCAAAGTACAAAAACAAGCAGCAGCTTGACTTGTCGTGAAAAGTCCAAAGTGAAGTATCTGGCTATTGCCATTATCGTAATTTTCCTGATCTGCTTTGCTCCCTACCATGTAGTACTCTTAATAAGATCCATATACTTCATGTTCCATCAAAATTGCTCATGTCCATTTGAAAAAAAGATCTATTCAATTTTTACAGTGTTTCTGTGTTTAGCCACTGCAAACAGCATTGCTGATCCAATCATCTACGTGCTGGTTAGTGAAAATGTCAGAAAAGATTTTTATAGGAGTCTCAGAAGATGGAGACTGAACTCAGCCAGGCTGAATTCATCCATTAATCACAAGACTGACAGCATAAAATTGAAAACATCAAAAGAATCACAGGAAGGAGGGCTGAAAGAAGAAAACAAAGAAATACCATATTCATCTGACATTCAAAAGACCTGTAATAGAGTCAAAGACCAAGAAGGTGGTAGCTAGCAGTTAGCTGCTGACACACATAAGCAATTCCCAACACCAGCTGTGGGCTGCAGACTGCAGCACACAAGTATTTACATGCTGATGTCCAAAGGACGTTTTGTCATAATGCATTGGCCAGCAACTCCTTGAGGATGCTACAGGAGTGACACTTCTTATTTCTGTTGTTCTCCTACAATAACGTTTGTCCACAAGTATCATCAATGAAAATAGTGCCCTGCTAAGGACATGTGGAAGAAACAATTTAACTCAAACTGAAATCTTAAAAGTTTATTTTTTGGACTGGCTCTTCTCCTCTTATGAATTCAGAACTGATTTTAAATTCTGAGATGCACCAAAAAAAAATTTCTGCCAAGGAGAACAATGTAGGGCCCACTCTTCTGGTTGAAATTTTACTTTGTGAGGAGGTAGAGATTCTCATACACATACTGTGCTGTTACCGTTTGTGGTTAACCAGTGGAAAATCTTAAAAATGAGGAAGTCTTTCAACAAGAGCCTTGAAAATGTTCCTAATACTTCAGTATGCAGCTTTATCTACCTTGCACATTCTGGGGAGAACCAAAGGCAAAACCATGGCTTGGTAACACAGACCAGCAGTACTTCTACTGTGTTAGTGAAGATTTTGCGCTGTCCTGAAATTCTTAGAATGTACAATTCTAATGCCTGACATTTTACAATTAGTAGTCTTTACTTATTTTGCAGTTAAATCTGGAATGCACTGAAGTATATATAAAATTTATACGTTTCCAAGTGGTGTCATGGACTGGTTTTATGCCATCTCCAAACATTTGTTGAAGTTGTGTTTTGTTTCTAAGTTAACATTTCCCTTTTGGTGTTAATCCAACTTTTACTGTGTAGGAGTCTGTACAAGAGTTAAGTGTCTTACTGACAAGAAAGAGCTGGCAGTATGGAGAAGACAGTCCCTTCTCCCCATAGATGGGTACTCCCCTGGAGACGCTGGTTCTGCACACATGGGACCATGCTGGGGCAGATTTCGTTGTTGCTGTTGCCACTTTCACTATAAATAAATTATTGATGGTAACTTCCTCTGCCTTCAAACTAGAAATGAAAAAATAAGAACAATAAAAACCTCAGAAGATCTATCTGAACAGTTTCTTCATATTTTTATATTAAAGTAATATTTTTATTTTTGAGGTAAAATAGAGAAAGATTGTGAATCAGTGGGATGTTTACTTGAGTATGAGTTTGTAAAGTGTTTCAGAGTGTCATTCTACTTCATCTGTAAAGTTGTATTTCTCTAACATTTTTAAATTGTCATTAAGGTTGACATTTGTGAATTGAACTAGCATTAGCCAATGTCAATGTAAATAGTATACCTGTTATGTTTTTTAATTGTCATATATTTCTGTATATTATGCCTTATTCTTATACACATTTGCAAAGAAGCATTGTGCAAAAATAGTATTTCCTCAAGTTACTGTATTTATGACGTATTTAATTTTTGTATTATTTAATGACTGCTCTGGCATCTGCCTGTGAAAGGCTTGTGTCCTCAAAAGCAGTTCACATAATACCGAGTTGAATAGAAGATTGTTTCTTGGGAAAATGTGAAATTCCGTTGCAATGCTAATCAACAAACTTTGCTTTTGTATTTTCATACAAATCTCTACTGTATCAAGGAGAGAACTGCAAAGTGCTGAATATCTGTAACTTTGTTGAAAATCAAACTTTCCATTACTAAAAAAACTCAGCAGCAGGCATTTCTGGTAACAGCCCAGTCATCCAGAGCATTAGTGATTAATCTCTGAAGATGCGTATGCAAACTGCCCCAACCTCAGGATTTTCATAGTCTAAATGTAAAACTCTGGTGAATAATAGCAGTGAATGTAGAAGAAACCAAATGTACAGACTTATGAACTGACTGAAATGGATGCAGATTAGATATTCGTCTTGATGAATTTTGAAATCTCTCTGATATTTTTCCTCTGATAAAACGTGACAGTCTTCAGAGCAACCAGTATTGGAGCCCAGGGCTGTAGGTGCAGGGGACATGGATTAGCAGGGTCTGATGTAACATCTGTAATTCTTTTGCCTTGCCTAATTTATATGCTGTTCTAAATTACTATATTGCTATGCATCTTCTCTTAGTGAACATCCTTGGAGCTTCTTTGTTCTGATGCACTCTGAAATAAAAGCCTTAGGGGTGACAAGGCCCTGTACATCCTGATCCAATTTTGAAGACGACCTAGGTGATCTCCAAAAGTGCTTTCCAAACTAGAATATTCCATGACAGGGATTAAGGGCCAGGTATCAAGCAATGTATCCGCACAGGAAAACTGCAAATCCTGACTTCTTTGGGTAAATGGAAAAGCAGCTTCACATCCGAGTGAGGACATCAAGAAATGCTGTTTCCACACTGTTAAACTATCCCATCAGACAGGCTGTTTCTCATGTGGTAAACTGAAGCATGTAATCTGGTTTGTCACATAGTATCTGACTGTGCCATGCAGGCAAAGGAAGGGTCTTAGCACTGGGACACTTGCTAGAGACACAGCAAAGGACATCACTCAGGTCAGAGCAGATCTGAAGGGTGGATTGAGTGGAACCTTCCATCCTTTCCTCCTGCTGGGACGTTACTAGTGAGCCTGCAGGGGCTGTGTCATGCCGTGAAGAAAGGTTCACCTACTACATCGGCTTCACAGTTCTCAGCCCAGCTAATTGGATCTGTCCCCCAAATTCCACAGCTCAGCTTAAACTGTTAGATGACTTGGAGAGAGTATAGAGCCAAACCTAGGCCACACTTCCCAATTTGATTTTTAGATGGCCAGGCCTCCACAGAATGAAGCACAGAGTGGTTAAGTCATTCACCAGTGTAAGGGGGCAAGCTTTGAAAACTCCACTTTGTTTTGTATTCAGCATTTAGTCAGGTATAACTTCTGTAATTTGATTTAAATTGTCTGCTACTGAAAAATTAAACATGATTTTATTTTTACATGTGTTTCAGACATTCATAATGTACCTGGGAGATAGGTAGATTGCTGATTAAGTATGACTGTGAAGTACAAAATGAGTAATTCCTGGCTATGGACTAGAGCAGGCCAAACTAGTTTTTGCAGACAATATATCTGATTTCTTTGTTTATTCATCAAGTTTAAGTTATTTCTAAAAACTGCATTTTTAAAGTAATTGTTTGGGATACCTCATTTATAAATTCTGTTCCTGTCTAAGAAATGGTTTCATGTTCAGTATTAAATTTTGCTCCAAGAGGATAGTTATACAAACCAGGCAAAGCCAGAACAGAACGAACTCAGACTATGCATGACAAAGTTTCACTGGTGACCCTGTAGCTGGTCTGATTTAGTCCCTGTACTGTGTACAACCCAACGTCAAATTTCTGTTGGGTAATGAGTGATGAAAATTGACTCAGAACCAGGCTTCCCAAAACACCCACAATCTAGTAACTTTTCTTTGTGAGCATATTGTCATCCTACAGGTCATGCTGTGGGACAGGGCTTTTAGGGAACATCCTTTATACAGGGAAATGATGATACAGATTGGAATACCCGTCTTATTGTCAAATCAACACAAACTAAAGGTAGCAAATAAGGGTGAGGGGACTGCATCAGAGAGATGCAATCATTTTTTTAGAGCTCATTGGTGTGCAGGGAAGCATACAGATGGCAGCATCCATAAGGCTGGATCTCCCAGCATATCTTCTGTAGCTACTGTCTAGAGACAGGATGTGATAGCTGTCAGACCTCTCTGTGTATTCTAGTGCCTCTTGGGATGGTTTGCATCCCACCACACTCTTGTCCCACCGCACAATTAAACTTTGCACAGGAGAGGGCCCTTCTCAGACTCTATTTGTACCAGGGATGCAGCATGGTCTCATTTTCAAGTGAAAAGGGTGTGAAACATAAAAGGATAAATCTGTTATCCCAAATTAGACTAAAATCTGGGTAGTAGATGTTAGTTGCTGCCATCATGAGCTATTGGTAGGAAAGAGCAGGACTCTAAACTCATTATGTCTCACAACTGTAATTCAAATCTCTGATAACTTCTAGCGCCTCATCCTGTAAGCAACGCTCAGAGATAACACAGCAAAAAAAGAGCCTTGCAGACAGATGGGAAGTCCGCTGTGGAGAGATGATAAGCTATGTGGTAAGAATTTCACAAAACATTGCATGAATGTCACCTACACAAGCCACCTCAAAATAAGCATTCACAGTACACCATGAAATGATCCAGCCTGTTTTGCAGCCTCAGTCTGTGACAGGGCCCATACAACTGAGCCCATGATCACAGAGCATCTCCTCCATGTTCAAAGGTCTGTCTTGAAATATTTTCTTGAGGGAGGTGAAGAAACAAAGAGAGATACTCTGGGAAAAGGGTGTTGTACGATATACCAAGTCCTGAAAAGCCTTGTAAATCTGAAGTCACGGATGTTCCGAAAAAGTATGCAAATACTCGAGAGTTCAGAAAGCTACTTAGAGATGCATCAGCCTGTATCACAGTTCCCCATCTGTAAAATGGGACATTTCTTCCCTTCAGCATTGTCTGTCTTCTCAGTTTAAAATACAAGCCCTTGCAGAAGATACAAGAAAGAGTGAGCAGGTGTGTTGTATGCATATTCAGAGGTTAATGCAACAAGGCAGTGAACAGCATGGAGGCAAATACAAGCTACCAAAGCACAAATTCTAATGAGTCATCACTTCCAGGGTCAAACTCAAAGGCCTTGATTTGCTTCTATTTATGCTTGGGCATTAGAAAAAAAAAAAAAAATGTGGACTTTCGTTTTGACTTTGGGTTTCCTACTGGTAAAATGAGCACTAGACCCTTGGGGACTTCACTGGGATTTTTCCTCAGGGGGAGATTTTGTTGTTTGGAGGTATTTTGTTGCTTCCAAAAGGTAAGAGTAACTCACCATTCCACAAAGTTGACTTCCAGGCAGGAAATACTCAGGGCCAAGTGCTCACAAGGTTCATAGTATCTCTCCAGGCACAGAACTGAAAACAATCCATAACAGCAAGAGCATTTGCTGT